TGGTGGTTTTTCAAACAATACAAACATTCGTTTTCAAACACTACTTATGAACTCACCAACATTTCATATGTTGACGTTTTTCAAAATACTTGTATTCTCAGGGAACCAGTGAATCAAGGGAAATCATATTCAGTGACGGTTGCAGTTTATTTTTGTATGGATTGAACAAATTAATTTTTGGGAAATGAAATGTTTAAACAATGTATGATATGTAAACACTACTGGTTGTACTATGTTGATGAATGGTGACGAATGTTGTTATGTATCATATATATTCAATGTTATGGTATTCAATTGAGTCACGGCAAGCCCCCGGACGTTTCCGCCGTCTGGTTCGGGGGTGTGACACAACGCTTCATCGTACGTCAAATAGTGTCTAACTAATAAAGAAAGTAAACCTGTCGGGATTGTAGCTAGCAATCGCAGGTTGGGGTGTCAATCCCCGTATAGATCTATACATATCTTTCTGGCTCTGGCAAGATTAAGGATTACAAGTTCGGGGTAGCCAAATTTAATCAGGCTAAGGATGAGTAATAACAGCTCACTAATGCATTAACCTTAGGTATTTTATCTTTTATCTTTCTTTCTTATTGATTTCCTATAATTATCACAATATAAATCTTTTACTTTATATTCGATAATTATAACTTTTTGATCTCACAATTATCGTGTATATGTGTGTGTGTCTATATATATATATATATATATATATATATATATATATATATATATATATATATATATATATAATTTTGCCACACACACACACACACACACACACACACACATATATATATATATATATATATATCATAATTATCCGGGTATATAGGATGTTGTTATGATATATTTGTAGGTCAAAGGCACCAACACCAACCTACTAGGTTATGTATTCGGGTATATAGGATGTTGCTATGATATGGTGATCTATTAGATCTGTATCCTGGTATATAGGATGTTGTTATGCGGTAGTGATATGTATATATGCATGTTTGTCTGTTGATTAATTATGTGTTATTTTATTATGTATATGTCTACATGTTATGGTTTTGGGGTGAGACTTTACTGCTATATGCATGATTCAACAGACCGGGGGTATTCCATCTTGATGGTTGTGGAACTGAGGGTATTCCAGTCCGATGACTGAGCGGGCCAATGGTATATCGGTATTCCAGTCTGTTGACTGATTGGGACGGGGGTAACCCAACCCGACGGTTGTGGACCCGTATGTATTCTAGTCCGATGACTGAGCGAACCCATCATGCTTGTTTGTATATGATATTAGGGGTGTTAAGGGGCGGTTCGGTTCGGATAGTAATAAAATTGTGAACCGTCATCACGGGGCGGGTACTTCATGTGCACTAACCGAAACCGAACCGAATTAGCAAAAAAACCGAACCGTATAAAGACGGGTAACCACGGTTCGGTTCACGGGTACCCGCTAAATATAAAAATTCAAATACAATTAAAATTACAAACTTCATTCCAACGATTTCTTTCTAAAAATTACTAAGTCCAAAGAATTATAAAAACATAATAAATGTCAAATAATATACAATATAATTGGTATAATAAATATAAAAATAAAAATAGAAGAAAACATAACGTAGAAGTGTAAAATTGAAATAGCCGATCATGATTTTTGTTTGAAATATGGCTAAAAGTTCAATGAAAATGAATATTATATATATATATATATATATATATATATATATATATATATATATATATATATATATATATATATATATATATATCAAGCGGTTCGGTTCGGTTATCCGCGGATACCTAAGTATCCAAACCAAAACCGACCCGTTGATATCCGGTTTTTTCGGTTTCGGTTTTTTTATGTTTCGGTTTTTTTCGGTTTCAGTTTTTTTCGGTTTCGGATCGGCCGGTTCGGCTCGGTTTTTCGGTTTTGCGGTTTTTTTGCACACCCCTATATGATATGTGTATTGTGTGGTGGTACTTTAGGGGAAACTCACTAAGCTTTGGCTTACCGTTTCAATTTATTGTTTCAGGTACTTCTGATGATCGCATGATAGCAAAGGCGTGATTGTGCACATTCCTTCGGATTTTGTTATTAGGATTTTGGGATACTCTGATATTTGATAAACACTGGTTTTGTAAACAATGATGAATTTTAGTTGTTTTTGAAAAGTTTTTTTTTTTTTTTTTTTTTTTTTTGAATTTTGGGATGTTATAATTAATAGTGATACAACTTTTGGCTACTCATTTTTTATCTTATTAACCTTATTTATAAATCATATTACTTCTAATCATATTTTCCCGAAATATGAAAACTCTATTATTTTCATTTGTCGATGCTAATCTTTAGTGACGGTTGATGACCGGAATTTCCCAAATGTCACGGACTTAAAATAAGTAAATACCCTTGTTTCTCCATTTTCAATATACATACTAATTTCTCTATGTTTAGGGACACGTGTGACAATTTTAAGAACATATTGGTCATTCCTTAAAGGCATTAAGCCATAATCTAACGGGAACTCAAGTATATAGTAATGAGAGTACAATGTTTGCTCTTTTCGGTACCCTAATTATCTAACCATGTCAAGGCCTTATACTAAAAATAGGTTTGTGTCAATGAAGTCAACATATGATATAATATCGCCTACATATTTTCTACCTGTGGGCTTGGTGAACACTGCACTGTAGTGTGTCCTTAACGTAAAATAATTGACAAATCCATCTACAATCACAAATAAGAATGGGTAAACACATTGTAAGTCTTTGATCAACACATTATAAGGGAAAAATAACTTCTTTTCCTGTAAAACCTTACCATATTCAGCTTCCAAGTCTATCTGTTTTTTACTCTTTTCACGTACACTCCCAACACAAAGGACCATTTTCGTTCGTCAAGATAAAAACCTTGGAGAATCAATTTCCTCCGTTAATCGAAAGTCAAGAGGACAAACTAGGTTGTAGGTTTCTTAGGATCGAGAGTGGGAGAGGGATGAAGTTGGTTTGAGAGGATGAAGTACGTCGGGTATAATCATTTCCCGCATTAAATGTGATGCCTTAAGTGAAATGGCCAAGTTTCCCTCGTTTGATTTGCACGTGATTTCACTTAATGGCTCAATTTTAACAGAGTGAGTCAAAAGGATCATCTATAAAAAAAAAAAAAAAAAAAAATCAAACCGTAGGGACCATCCTTGAATACTTTTGAATCAAACTCGATATTCTAAGATACCAAAATGATCATTTATGAAGATTTGTCTTATTTTTATTATGGATGAACATGTTTTCCACAATAGGCAAAATTAACCCAAAATTAACCGTGTCAGATAATTTTCCTAAGATAACCAATTATTATTTTTATGTTGAGTTTGACAGAAAGTGCAAATTTTGGCAATGGGTTCATGAAAAGCATGTCAAATTGAACCCAAATTTTGGAGAAGAGTTTGCAGCTATTAATTTGTCTATATTAAATGGAATTATATGATTCCACTGCCAAACCAAAACCAAGACAAGTGATATATGATTCAACTGACTAGGTGAGTCATGCATGAAAACACCTTATTAATAATTATTCTATTTAAGATATCATGTAAGCAAAACCTAGATAAAACAGCCATAAGGACTGTATGTATACAAAAATAACAAAGATTCATTTTGTAAAAAGAACATTAAAAACTAAATATGTATAAATTGAATTAACCTGATATAGCCGATCTTATTTTGTAAAAATAAATAAATAAATAAATAATGACTAAATATGTTCAAACTTAAAACTATATTACCCTGTTAAGTAAGAGTTGATGATAAGGTAAAAATTATATAAATAATAATGCATAATGTTTTGGTTCTATATATGAAATTTAAAATATTTTGTATTCAATCATGTACTTTAAAAAATGATATATTAATTTCATATATCATTTGTTTTAATTTAATTTATTTTACTACTTATTGCATTTTTTACTTATACATTTAAAACTATAATAGCTAATTTCATACTAAATTTAAAGAATTAGTAAGAGATTAAAGAATGTTTCTTATTTAAGTTATGTAATATGTATAAAAAAACGTGGATCATTTGATGAAATGTCATGATGTTACGTAATAAATTTTTAACCTAATCACGTGAGAATCATCCATGCAAAATGCTAAAAATGTTGTTAAAATAAAAACCTAATTTCTATTTGTAATAATCAACACTAATCCAACAATACTAATAAGAATGAAGCGTATCAAAGGAATTGAATTTAAAGCATTTATAATATGTTCTATATTCGCACCAAAAAAAACTTTGGTCTAAGAATCTCGAACCTAACAATTCACAAGTCATGATCAAATAATTACAACTCTTGGATAAAATTCTACCATACCATACATTTATCACGCCTAAAAAATAGCCTAAGCCGATCAAACTTAGGAGTACCACCTAACCAAGATTTCTACTACGAAACTAAGTTAAATTTAAAAATTCACTATTAGAATCAACATTCATGACAACAATTTACACACTTATTTCTAGTGTTTGTTGACTTATTGAGGTTATCATCGGTAATAAGGAGTTTTTAACGTTTGAACAGAGAAATTTCAAAAACACTTATCGACTCAAGGCATATTCGGCAAAAACTAGTTGGTAATGGGCAGTGGATAGTTTGTAGCATTTTGTTAAACGCTACGTGAGGTAGCTGTTGGATTTATAGCGTTTTGTTTAGACCAAACACTAGAATATTGTAGTGTTAAACAAGACTTTCTATTCTAAATGGAACGTTTTATCAAATGCTAGAAGCTCTCAAACGTTCCGTGTTGAACACGTCCTAAAGAGTTTTTAATAAGTCATTTCCTCTTTATTGACTTATTTCAGGAGTTTTTGATAAGCTATTTCATTATTACACATAAATTCTAATTTTAACAAACACTAAAAATAACTTATTAACTTCTTACGTTTCGATACTAGATAAGTTAATCCAACTTTTTTTTGGAAAAAAACTTTGTTTTGATACCGGAGAAGCTAATAAACACTTTCATAAAAAAATAAATAAGTTGTTTTGAATAAGCAATCCGAAACACCCCCTCAAATGTTATTATATCACTTGGGCATAAATATAATACACCCAAAAAAACACACCGATATTGTGTAATAGTAGTACATCCGTCCAATTTAATCAACTAGACTCAACTTGACTCGGATAATTATGGTTTTGTTTGGGTATCTCCTGAGCATCAAATCAAAATATACAAACAACAAATGACTTATAAATAATAGTCATCTGGTCCAAACACAAACACGCTTAACTACAAACGCAATCATATTACAAACCATTTAATCATACAAAAAAAAATGATGAAGGTCTAGAAGAGATAAAGAGACATCTTGATTTTGTTTTGTTTCCACCTTGGAAGCTGGTAAAAAGCTGTTTTTGGCATGGAGAATTTCTCTTCAAACTCCTCTTCAGTTAAATACGCCTGCACAACACAAAAAAACACAATTTTACAACAATATACAAAGTCAGCAGTGTGAAGAAGACAAGTTTTTAATTTGAATGAAAATGGAGATCGAAATTCAAAGCACCTCTCTCTTTGTAATGTCTATGTCTGGAACTGGATCTTTTGAGTTGACTTTCACCCGTTCGTATGGATAGTTGACCAATTTTACACCATCTTGACTGGGAATGGGACTAGAATCTTTAGAGGGAAGACTCGGTGTCTTATCTGTGATGATGAAAGAAAGGTTTGAGTTATATTGATCCAAAACGTTTACATTTTGACCCGACTCAAATCTCTACTAGATCTAGTCAATACCAATCATGTCCACCATGAGAATCAATAGTTCTAAACCAAACTTCATATGGAGGATCGAATCATGTGATTATTCAAAAATAAACATACCTGCAGTGCGAACATCAGGGGAAGATGCTGAAGGGAACATTCTGGGAATTGGAGGACTAGAAAATCGACGATTTTTCGTGGTATTATTATTATTATTATTAAAATCGGGCCTTGAAAAAGCATCAGATGATGTGCTTCTAATCGTGTATGAGTCAAGCGACTGTCTCCGAGTCAACCCGTTAGGGGTGGGTCCCGGAGACGGTCTTCTTGACCCGTTTGGAGTTGGAGATGGTCTTCTAAACCCGTTTGGAGTTGGAGATGGTCTTCTTGGAGTCGTCTCTTTCGTGTTGAAATTATTTGAATTTCTCAAAGGCGCCTAAAATGGAAATTTTACCAAACTTTAAAATAATGAACTTCGAGAGAGAATTAATAAATAACAAGTAACAAAAATGTGTAAAAAGTTTCTATTCTTACTTCGAGTTTCTGTGATTGGCCTTTTAAAATTGCAAGCTTTCGTTCAAATGAGTTGCCAAGCATCTAACGTAACAAAAAAGAAAACACATATCAATATTATATTTTCTTTAAAATAAAAACAAGAAATGTTACTATTTGTTACGTACATTTGCCTTTGAAGCATCCCATTCAAAGAAACGGGTGAAAAAAGGTGGTTCATGCCCTTCTGAAACAACATATGTAGGAGCATCCATGGATAAGCCTTCTCCCAAAACATCTTTCTTGAGAAAAGCCTGTCATACAACAAAGAACATAATTTACATAAAGAAATTGTTTAAAAAGTGAAGTCACTAAGAATATTGCAACATTTTCTTTTTTGTCAAAACTTTGCATGAAAAATATATTACAAGGTGTTAGAGAAATCATACCAAGCCAATAGAAAGGGCTTGTTGTTTTGACTTAACAACCGTATTGTGACCAACCCACACAAAAATTTCAGAGTAGCAATCGAGTACCAACACATCTTCAGTAGTTAAATCATCCTGTGTAAAATTGAATATCTCTTTCACCTGAAAATTGCATAATAATCCAACACATAAGAATCTTTAAATTTGAAAAAGTTAGCAAACTAAAAGAATGGGAAATTGAATTTAAGAAAATAAAATACAAGGTTGTACCTTGAGATCACTTGCATCTGGTATCATAAACAGCCAGGACCCACCATTAATTGCATTACAATATAAAGAAAAGAAAAAAAAAACAAAATGATATGTAGATAATTTCAATTACCTTTTGTGTATGTAGAAACAAACAAATGTGGATCTTCAACGAATCGTTTTATATCTTTCTCTTTTGGATATTCAGTCTTTCCACCAAGTGTTTCCCAGAAAACATCTGGTTCGCTACCTTCCCTTACTAATATAGGTTGCCATGTTGGCTACAAATTGTCAACAAAAAAATAATAATAATGATCAATATTGGGTACTAAGAATCTTGATAAATGAGAGAGTGATTCATGGAGTAAAATGAAGAGTTCACCAACATTTATCAAATCTAACATTCCATACAAAAGATCATGATCTCGTGTAGTGGAGAGATTTCCTAGCCAAGTGAAGATAGATCCATCACGAGCCTTTAAAATGTAGCAGCATGATGAGTTTAAAGATCGAGAAACCTGCAATAATAATTAATTAATAACCATAAATCTTAGAATTTAAACGTACAACTTGTAATTATGGTGATTTTACATGTTGGGGGGAAAAAGTTCTTACTTGATCAACTTGGATAGCCTGCATATTGTCACGATTTGTTCCTTGAATTTTGAAAAGGGCGGTTTTTTTATTATCATAAGTTTCATCATCGAGACCTTTTTCAGCAATAAATGATTTATATCGAGAACCCATACCACCCTAAAGAGTAACAAAACGCCCAATTTAGAAAAAACATAATAAGTGTCTGAAATATCACTTTAGGAAAAAGAAATGCAAACCTTAAACATAATAAGCGTCTGAAATATCAAAAAGAATTGACTCGGTTCCTTGTTCTCAACAATTCGAGCCTAAAATCAAGCCCCCAATTTAACATATCAATCGACGCAAATAACAATATTCAAATATCCAGGAATCGAGAAGATAACTAACCAAAACTGGCTCAAATTTAGTTGAATCAACAAGACCACTTGTAAGAGAAATCGCATCCTCCCTATCTTCCTGCAAAGTTACAGAATCAATCGAGGTATTACTCAGATATAAATTTAATCTGTAATAAAAATTGTGACTTTATAGCTTAAAATTGATATTAAATTTTGTTATTACCACACAACTCTTGTTTCCAAGCCAAATATAAAATAGACGTTCCTCTCTTCCATTGGTTGAATATATATACTGCACAGTATAGCAATCTCCACTATAAAGCTTTCTCTGTTCCACAACAGGAACAGGGGACAATTTACCATTATTTACCCTCCAAACCTACAATAAAAAAAGAAAAAAGAACATCCACATATAAAAAAGCTGACGTGGCAAGACACTTGTCATACAAAAGCATTGGTAGAAAGTAACCTTTAGTGTACCATTACAATCGATATGTGACTTGTCATCTTCATCAGGAATCTCCTCCACATCATACCCCGTTTGCTTGAACATTGCTAAAGTTGAAAAGTTGTTAAAGACTTAAATCTCAATTCTGATTTTTTTTTTTAAATTCAGAAAATTTGTGGGTGGGAAAAAATATTTAAAAAATCACCTGCTACTTTCCCTCGGCCTTCTTCATAAAGTTTAGGTGCCACTGTTTGAGGCCAATCATCAAAATATGACTTAAAAATAGCAGTTTCTGCACCTTCTGTCAAAAAGGCTAAATGGGTATTTACAGGTCTTTCTTGAGCACGAAGAAAATCCTATAAATGTATGAAAGATCAAGAATCAAGATCAAGATTCATCCACATAAAAGTACACACACTAAACACACACACAGACACACAGTACCTCTGCTGCTGAAATTGATGTTTTGCGTTCTGTTATATGGGTAGTTCTTCCCATCCAAACAAAAATTTGAGTATCAGCATCCAACATGTAGCACTTGTTTGACTCAAGCATTGACCTTTTCAACCTCCCACTTCCACTTTGAGTGAACTTTCCTTGAAGAGTTATCCTGTTGAAGAAAATCATAATATTACAGAAGATAAAAGGTTTTAAAAAGATATGATCTTTTTTCTTTTGCATACTTAAAAGTTATGAAGTTTTTGAAAGTAACTCACCAAAATAATTTAACAGATAAACTTTGAGGCTGTTCTTGAGTGGAGGGTGGGTCCTTGGGAATAGGGGCATAACCACCAAAAAAGTTCCAGAATTCTCCCACTTCAGCATCACCAACAAACTTTCCATCCTCTAACAAAATAGCAATGTACTTTCATTGATTAGTTTCTTATAATTTATAGCATCCTACTTTCATTTCTTCATATTAAGAAGAAAAATAAAAGTAAGTTGCTATTTCTTGCATTTAGCACAATAAAAAATGGCAAACAAACCTATGGCTGCTACTTCACAATTGCCCTTGTGTTTATATTCTTTAATATACTGAACCACTTCCAATGCTTTAGCTCTTTCTTGTATACTCGAGTTACAACCACTAAAGTGGAAAATTTTTGATGCAGTGTCAAGTATGAATACATCACGGTGGTTCAAGGACGAACGGGAGAATGCCACCTGTCATTATAATTTAATACCAAATCATTAAAATTTATAGTTTCATTTCTCAAGATTTATTTAAAGCTGTGATCTTTGTTATAAGTCAAAAACTTACTTCTTTCACATGCACTACACGATCTCCCCTGCATGTTAACAATCTGGTTTCATAAGTTGGAGGTTTTGAGTGTACTTGCCCTGAGTAATATACACCTTCAACTGGGATGATGCAAGGTTTAAAGTATGACAAAAATTTCCCAGTTTCTTGACCTTCAACTTCTTTATATTGTACAGATTGAGACCCTAATGCTGCATCTAGTTCAAGTGCTTTATCCGATGCTAGAGTTGAGTCAACCTGCATTTGGATATGTGATTTCAAAGTTGGAAAGCTAGGGATAGTTAGGTAATTTTACATTTACCTCATTAGCATTGTTGCCCAGCCAATAATGTATGTCGTGTTGAAGGGCACCACTTTTAAGCAAAGTTGTCTGGCTCAATAAGAAAATGGATCCATGTCAAATTTATTGATATTTGATTAGAGGATTAAATGAAAGGGTTGACTTGGTCAAAGTGACTTACATGGAGAACTACATATGCACTCCCTGAGAAGAATTTCCCATGTGAAGATTGGGGCACTGAAACTAAACGGAGGTTCTCTACACACCAGATTTCTAAGCCACTAAATATTATCACATTAAGGATATGGCAATACTTATATAACTCAAGAAATATCTGTTTTTTTAAGAGTATTGAAAAGTGGACTTTAATTATGAAAGGAGAAAAGCACTTAAAAATGCTGTTGAGTTAAATTATAGAGAAGGATACAGCTTTGATCCTGCACCCTGAAGTTCCAAATCAATAACTTTGTTGGATCCCATATTTCATTCTTCAGAAAGCATTAAACATGATCTGCATCATATATGATATTTGTGAATAGAAGAAGGAAAAAAAAAACAAAATGAAAAAATCTTATCCATATTATCTCTCTCTTTTTTTGTATAAATCCATGCTATAAAAGGAATAATTGAAATTTGAAACTCATCAGATCTAATAAGAATCTTTGGAATGTAGGTAAGTTGCTTAACTAAATGAGTATTATCTGCTTGATTTTTCGTTTTCTTTAATTATTATTGTGCACAAATCCTAACAAGATCATAGCTTTTGACCACCCAGTGTTTGACCCAACGTTTATAAGCATATCAATGATCTTTGCATTGACTATGAGACATGAATGTGGGTTTGCAATTGTGTAAAATTTCTTTGTGTTATTTTTCTTCTGAATCTTGTTCTAATCATGGTGCGTTCTCAACAATCTATTCAAAAATCATGGTTTTTAACCTACCAACTGTTTTAGCATTCGAACTGCAAGAACTTTAATGATAACAATATTTAACACATATTACCAAACTGATCAACATCAATACATGTTAAGGAAAACAAAACTAACCTTGATTGTGGCTTCTTCTGACAGAATCAAGAACTTCAAATCGAACGCGGAAACCCCCAATTGAAGATCGAAGGAATGTAGGTGTGAGTTGACACCCAAATGAAACAACTCACAGAATATGCTAATCAACTTTATTTTGACCCCTAATAAAATCCAAATTTATTAAATAAATTTTAAAAAAAATAGTACAATCAAAACAACAGAATTAGAAACTAATAATGAATGGAAGCGAAGTGGGTCGATAATCATAAAAAACAAGAAAGAAAACGAGGGTTTGCCTTTATCATCCAGCTAATTCGGGACCCACGTCGAGGGTAGCTTTTTGAATAAAAGCGTGGCGCCTAATTGAAAGCACATGCTGACTGGTGAGGTCATAAACGCCATTGAAGGGGGCTTTATTAAGGTAAATAAAGCTTTAAATGAGCAGGCATGGGTTATGCATTCCCATGATTGATGACTGAGGTCGAGTTTGTTCCTTTTCAGTGGTCGGCGACGACAATTTGGGTGTGGAAAATTTGATTGAGACTTGCGGAAGACTCGAGCTTTGTCGGCGTTGATTAAACGGGATAATCGGACTCGGTCATTAATGATTGGAGTTTGAGATTATATCCAAATGAAAATGGAATGCTTCGTTTTTTTAAGTTTTAATCTTTAAAATTTGTCTTCTTTCTTTAACGTAAATTATAAAAAGGGCAATGTGATGATTATATGTTGGTAATTTGTATGGTTTAATGACTTTAATCATTTTAATTTAGTTTGGTTTAGAGTAAATTAAACGACTGTTGTGGCTTGGACAACATTTGCATTTTGTTCGTATATTTTTTATTTATTAATAAATAGACAAAGGCTAGTCAAACATCGAAACATAGACATAGCATATGTGAAATCAATAAATAAGTTGCTAAGAAACCATTAAACGACATTGCTTTTAAGAAATACTTTTTTTTTTCAAAATAAATATTAAATGAAAAATACACGTTTAACCTGCAAAAAAAAAAATCATGTTTTATGTTAAAATCTTCAACGAAAAAAGACAGTCTTTTCCTCAACTTATTTTTATTTTCGCACCCTAATAATATTTTTTATAGCATAAAAGGGGGTTTTTTCCAGCTCATTTACTGATTTTACATATGTCATTTGAAGTGGCTATTTTGTGTACATTTTACTGATTATTTATTATTTTTTGAAAATAATAAATAAGATTAGTATAAATTGTTTATTCTCTAAATTTAACTTAGTTCATTGATTAAAAAAATTAAAAAATAACGGTTTTGATCTCATCTATACAAATTTAGCAAGTTAACAAACCGATTAAAATCAATGCAAAACGTTGTAATGCAGATTTTACTTTTTAAAAATAATACGTAAAAATCGAAAAATATATAAACTATTTTTATATTGCATCTTTTTCGATAAGATAAACATTTTTTTGTTAAACTACAAATAACTGAACATTAAATTAACTGACTTTAATTTCTTTTAGAATAAAAATGTTCAAAAAAAAAATATTGATTCGGTTTGTTGTGTCTAATGTTAGCATCATACTAGATACCAAAAACTAAAAAAAAAAAATGAAGTTGTGTAACTTCATTTTTTGGTTTTAAGATAAGTTATCTTACAAGAAAAAATATATATATATATCTTTTGAAATTTTACCTACTTTACTTAGCAGGTTAATCTTGAGATGTCGATTGTCAAAATATATAGGAGAAAAGAAAAAGAGAAAGTTAATAATCTTTTGCTTATTTTCGGTGGAATAAAAAATATACTTTTAAATCTTCTCGTGTTGGTCAACAGAGATAAAGAGCAATAGAGTTTGATGATTTTATAAGTATATCATTTATATGTAAAACATATTTGTTTATAAAGTTACAGAATAGTAATCAATTTTGATTTGTCATTTATGATCGGTGGGTTTTAATTTATATATATATATATATATATATATATATATATATATATAATATATATATATATATATATATATATATATATATATATATATATATATATATATATATATATATATATATATATATAATTTTGGTGCAATGGAGTATCTTCGTGCTATCACAACACCAAGTTAGGATGACCTGGGTTCGAAATCTCTCCGAAGAGAATAACCACCCCTACCTAATGCAATTTCAATATATATATATATATATATATATATATATATATATATATATTGGTACAGCAGGATTAATGGTTAGGAGTAAGTACACAAAAGCAGTTAGAATTACAAAACCGTCAACGTCTGAAATATAACTTGAGATCTTCAATCTATTAGTTAATATGTTATCGTAAAACGATCAATATTGTGTAATAATTGTACTACTTTGATGATCATTTAAATTAAATATGCATGAATTAAATATGATAAAAATGTTGCAAAAAGATGATTAATAAAAGTTTCTTATTTAATTTTAATTAATATTTATGATAAAACTTAGTTATCACAGTACAACGAGTGAGAAGTCAAACGAACAACAAATGATACGAAGAAAGACAATATCGAGGAAAAAAAACCCTCTAATTTTATGCATTTTAGGAAACAAGAATTGAAGATAAAGTTTGTTGTTTAATTTAAATTAATTGTTGAAAAATATTGATTAATGGTTTCCGAAATAATTTATTCTAATTACATAATAAATTTAATTAAAATTAAGGAAGACTAAACAAAAGATTAAAGATTATGGAAGACTAAGGTTGTGTTTGGCGCACCACAACTAGCTTATTTTTCGAGCTTTTTTATGTTGTCGTGTTTGGTAAGCCAGAAAGTAGCTTATAAGCTAGCTTTTTAAAAAGCTACTTAGGCTATATTTGGCGTACTATCTGAAAAGCTAGCTGTTAAATAAAATGATAACTAATAGCTGAAAAGCTAACTGATAAAAAATAACATTTGGTAAAACTAGCTGCTGAAATATATAAAATTACATAAAATAACATGTAAGAATATGTGTTTCTATAATTAATTAAAGGGTGTATTTGGAAATTTAAAAAAAAAAAACCCTCCTAAATAGCTAGTCTAAGTAGCTTTTCAAAAAGCTAGCTTATAAGCTACTTTTTGGCTTACCAAACACGACAACATAAAAAAGCTCAAAAAATAAGCTAGCTTATCAGCTATGACCCACGGCCCATCAGGATCCACTTATGTTGTTTCACTTTTTTAGGTCGAGATCTCTGATTTGAAGAACCCAAACAGACCTCTTTGATCCATAAAAGCTTGGGTAGTCCGATCCTTTGATTGAGCAGCCACTTATAACTTTATTGACCAACCTAATCTAAATATTTATTTAAAAATTATTTTCTCTATCTTCTAGATCCACAATCTAACTAATACACAATCTAACTAATCATTAATTTTTATCTACATTAGCAACCCACCTCAATACTCTATTTTATGTATTTTAATTTACTTTTAAAAATAATATCACATCTATTTTTTATAAAATAAATGAAATATATATAAAAAAAAAAAAAAGAGAATGATGGTGAACTATGTTGAGCTAGGTTATGGGGGCAATCCGCTCACACAATTTCTTTTCTTTTTAATTTATTTTTTTTAATTTTTTTGGGTGGGTCACGATGAGCTGCACACTAATAGGGATAGTGTCAAAATTGAATATTCCAATGACCAATCCATGTGTCTATGCCTCTCCCATCAAGCACCCGAACTCTCTGAAAATTTGAAATAATTCCTTTGTTCGGTTTTCGATTTTTTGTTGGATCACAACTCTTTTTTTGTCTTTATTTTTTTCACTTAAATATATATTTTTGAAGGGCAAATACCATAAAAATCATAACATTTTTATACATAATTGAGAAAAAAATTGCTCTGGCCACAAATAGGACATAGAGTTATAATTCTGGTCCATTTAATGATTTTCTTGGTTAACTCTATTAAATTTTTTGCAAAATCAGGCATAAAAGTTCAAATTTGGTTTTTGTAGTTTGCAAAAAATTGCACCACATATCCAAAACTCAGTTTTATGTTTTTTAACTTCTTTATTCTCATTTATTTTTTATTTTTAGTCAAAACTAAAATTGTTTTTATATTTTTATCGTATTTTATATTTTTTATATTATTAGTTTTTTTTTTTTTTCATTTTTTACGTTTTTTTTCGTCAATTTGATAACGTCTATTGATATTTTTCAAAAAGTGTAAAGTGTATGAATATTTTTTTTTTATATTTTTCGTATTTGTTTGTTTTTTTCGTATTTTTGTTACGTTTTGTTTTTTTATCAATCTGATAATCTTTTTTGATATTTTTTGAAAAGTGTAAGGTGTATAAATATGTTAGAGTATATTACGTTTTTTATGTTTGCTTTTTTTGGTTTCTTTTTAAAAAAAAAAAAAAGACAAAATGAAAATAAAGAAAAAACAAAAAAACAAAAAAGATATATATATATATATATATATATATATATATATATATATATATATATATATATATATATATATATATATATATATATATATATATATATATGAAAAAAATGAATATAAAACAACCAAAAAAAAGTCAAAAAATATTTGAAAAGATGAAAAAAAAAACGAAAATGTATAAAAAAATACAAAAATATGAAAAAATATAAAAACAAGTTTAATTTTGACTACAAATAAAAAAATGAAAATAAAAAAGTTAAAAAAACATAAAACCAAATTTTTGACATGTGGTTTAATTTTTTGCAAACTGTAGTAACCAAATTTGAAATTTTAAAACTGATTTTGCAAAAATAATAATAATAATAATAATAATAACAAAGTTAACATGAAAATCGTTAAATTGGCTAGAATTATAATTCTACGTCCCATTTGTGGTTAGAACCAACTAAAAAAATTAATAGCGTTTTTCTTAATTACACATAAAAATGTTGTGGTTTTTATAGTATTTGTTTTATTTTTAAACATGACTATTAATAGTTTGGTCGTAGTTTCAAGTATTTCATTTTTTCATGTTATGTTTATATTGCTTTTGAAGATTGTTATGTCGTGTTTTTTTAATCGAGATGAAAGGCTTAAATTCTTCGAGGTTACTTTTGGTAGGTTCTTATATTGATTAGAATTACCATACTTTAGCTATGTTAGATGAAATTCAAAAACATTGATTTAGTTTTTCGTTCTAAGAATTGACCTTTGTATTTCATTCAAACTTTAATGTTTTAGCTTCTCACTCAGACATATAAACATTTTATATCTAAAGATATTTGTTCTTGTTTTTTTGCCATGCTTCATGGTTTTTGGTAGGCTAGGCTGGGGAATGGCTTGTTGTTAAAGAAAATATAGACAAGTTATATGTTATTCCAATGAGAAAATAGGAAAAAAGAAACAAAAGAATGTTCACCGGAAATACAATCATATATCATGTGCACCAAACAAAATAAAGCAAAGATTTTCTTCACAAGAAAAAAATAAATAATATTGCTGAGAATGGAATATCAAACCAAGTACGGTAACAAGACACATTAGGGATGAGCATATGGACCGGGGAACCGGCCGGAATCGGTACCAGAACCGGAACCGGCACCGGAACCGGAACCCGATGGAACCGGTTGTGCCGGGACCGAGATGTTATTTTT